TCTACGCTTTCACTTAACAATTCGGGTTCTTGATGTTCATTACTTTTGTTTCAAAAAGGTCAATATCCAATTTGGTCGCCATGCTGAAAGCGATGGACTAGATACTGAAAGAACTTTTGGCATTAATGACACAAAATATGCCTGTCGATTTGAACTAATGGTCATCACCAAATTTTAATCGAGGGTGTTTGTACGAAGAAAAAATCTTGTACCATAGATTAATGGTGACGTGGAAACTAAGTACTCGGTTTTTAAGAGAAACAAACAAAGTATATCTCCTTCCTACAAAATAAACAAATTGTCAGGCAGGGGGTTGGCCGGCAGGAGATGCTGTGATGCTTAAGTCATTAAGGGTCCTGAGATCAAGCAAACAAATTGTAGAAAAATAAGTGTGTACCTTAAGAATCAAACTCATCTAGTATTTATATGATTGCATCCTCGACCAAGTCAGGCTTAGAATCCTAGTAGGAGTAAGGAAGGTGGCACATCTCGTACCTAGTTAGATTCATATCATTCTAATTTGTGGTCTAATTCCACTTCCAGTCACGGGTCGGTTTTATAAATCAGATATTTACAATGTGCACCTTATCAATGCTAGGGCTTTATACTTTTAACCGCCTCAGGTTTCTAGGGATAGCCTAGCTATCTTTTCTGTTCAATAGGGCTCTATCATTAAAGGATAGAGTTAAACTCTTATTAAAATTTTAGTTTTGCAGTATCTCTTTCCGAGCATACTTCATTAGGCCCTATTCAGCACACACTTCCCTGTTTGAGAATACTGTCTACCGAGCAGATCCCTTTCAGTGGATTCATTCTCTGCCAGGCTTCTAATCAATATGCTCGGCCTAAGGCCAAAATTTGCTTGACTAGTTTACGGTTTTGTTCGGTTGAACCTTTATCCGCTCGGTCGTGTCTGAGTTAAATCTTTTCAGGACATGCAATCCACCATGCGTCCTGATTCAGTTGGCACATCATGGCTCAGAGATTCTAAAGCCCTTCAGTGTTGGGATGGTTGCATTGAATACTGACTTAATTTTTAACATTTTTAGTCCAAAGTGAGTGTTCTTGGATTCAAACTTGCTATTTTCAGTTTGTGAACCCAAGTATTTGTGTTTGGACAATTGCCTAGTGCAATGAACCCTGTCTCCTTGTGTTCCAGCATATTACCATTTGTTTCTTTTCCTCATCTAACTAGTTAATGTACCCGTGCGTTGCACATGGACTAATTCGAAATGTAATATTAAATTTTTTTTTTCTTGGAAGTTTTATTGTTCATGAGTTGAGTATATGGTTATGAATATCAAGCAAGAAAAAAGAAAAGAAAAGAGAAGATAGAAAGCATAAGTACTTATGTATTCACCACATTAATGTTCACTTTTTGAAATCTAAGTTCTAACATGATTACATCTTTTTTGCTTCTAAATTAATCTTGGCATAATATCACTTCAGCATAATATCTCTCCAACCTAATACCATACCTAGCTCATGTAATCAATATTAATTTGAGCCAACGTGAAAACGAACCATGGGAAACAATAAAATTCACTGCATAAATACATACCTTTATACAAAGTTCGTAATTGGAATACATAAGTTGATCTATTACAATCAAATTAAAATGGGTGTGTTGAGATTCTATTTATCTATACTTTGTTTGTAGTTATCGAACATTAAACAAAGATATCTTATGCAACACATTTATTTTTTTGAATAGGTTATGAAACGCATTTCTCTCAATCATTTTCATTTGTTACATATGCAATTTTTCTTCGTAGATGCCTTTAATCAAGGCAACATAATTTAAGAGATGAAAACATAAGTTATTCATTTTAAAACTTGCAACATTTAATTGAAACGCCAACTACTTTTTTTTTTTTTATAATTCACTCAAGCTCAATAAATTGCAATCTAACCAAGGCTATTCTTTAATTTTTATTTTCTCCAAAGTTTATATGTTTAAATATGATCAAATAATAACTTCATCATATAGATATACACAATTTAAATAAATTGAATTGTATATGAGTATATCTAAATTCAAATATGTTATGTTGTATTCGAACAATTAGTCAAAAATATTAATCCATATCCAACTAATCAAATTTACAGTTTGGGTATTGATCAAAATTTACGCTGATCTACTGATAAATCTACATATATGAATGCTCAAAACCAAGCACCCACAAATGCAAACCCCCTTCCCCCCGAATTTCAGTCTAGCCCAATTTAAAATGTGTTGCTAAACAATCTGATACATCACTTATTACATTGACCAAAATGTAAATCTCCCCATTATTTGCATTTTTACATGTTTTGAAATTTTGATCACGAGTACAAATAGCTTCACTATTGTAAATGAATACAAAATGATATAATTTTTTTTTAAAGGTAACACAATGATATTACAAAGTTACCTTTAGTTATTTTGGAGTTAGGGGGTGTTTGATTTTGGTACATGCGATGAAATTATTGATGATCTAGTTTATATTAGTTGTAACAATCTGCGTATTATATTATTTTATCTCATTTGTACTATGAATGTTTTTTAAAACTGAGATAACGTTTTAGTGCATTATCATAATATCCATCCTATATATGTTTGGATAAGAGATTAATGCATACATTAAGTTGAAAAAATGAAAAAACTTTTCCATCCAATCTTCACTAATATTAAATGAATAGACTTTATAACATGATCCAAACATGGTGTTACATGATCACTAAAGTAATTTATTATAATATTACATTTTAATACCTGAATTCATCTTGCCCTTAATCTACTGACATGAACGTAAACAATCAAAGAAAATTAATTATTAGATATATACAATAAACGTCACAAAGTTGCATAGGTGACTTGTGTGATCCAAAGGGTCCAACCATACCCTATCTAGTCTATGTGTGTGGGGGTGTGCATGAAAAGAAACTGACCTATTTACCTAAATCAATTAAAAATATAAAATATAAAAGTAATTGAATCCAATTTAGATATTGCCAGCACCCATCCTTTTTTGCATTGCCAATTGCTTGTTTAGATCAACTTTTTTAGTGAAAGGTATGTGAAGGCAATGAACTTGTGTCTTTCCAACATGCAAAAGAATTGCAATTGAATCATAATTTTTCACCTGTGCATTTGTTGTTGTTGCATGCAATCCCTTTAATAAAGTATAATGCTAATGAACACTTCAACTTCTTATTGGGTCACTCTATTTTAGTATGTTTTCTGTTATAGCTCCAAGTAACATGGTGATTTACTAACTTCATGGTGACACCATATATAGCCTGAGCAACTCAAGGACTGAGTCCTTAATAAAGTTTTTTTCCTTGTTACAAGACAGTCTTTCTTGTCAGTTAAAATTTTTTAATTTTTGTTAAAATTTTATCTTCATTTAGAATTGCATATTTGTCCTTTAATTAGTTCTGTTATTTGACATACATACTATTATGGAGTATGATCGTTCACCCTTTATCTATTTTGCTTGTATTAACATCTCTTTTCCAAAAAAAATAATCCTAATTCCCAAGGCTTAACCAACTTCCTAATTCCCATGGCTGCTTTGAAAATTGAAACTTGCAGTTTGTGCTCATCTCATGCTATTCTCAAAATTATTTCATCTAATGATCAGTACCAATAAAAATTCAACACTCTCTCCCCTGAACCAACCTTATTGGATAATGGTGAGCATGCATCTGAAGGCTCTATTGAATAAAAAGTGTCACATTTCTTAGATTCCTTGATTGCTAGACCTGATATTTTCTATAAAACAAATAATTTAAATCACATTCATCTACTATCGCTGAAATTATTAGTGAATGCATAAACAAATCAAAACATCATATAACAAGCATCATACCTAATTATCATCTTAATCCGAGAAAAAAACTTCTTGATTACAATAACAAAACTTGAAGACAAAACACAAAGATAGATGGTGAGAAGAGGATGGGGAGGGAAGAAAGAAATAGAAAAAGGGGGGAATAAATGACTAATCAAATCAAAACCACCATGGCCATAACAACCATTATACTCAATTATCATCTTTATCCCAGAAACAAAATTCTTCATTACAGTAACAACACTTGAAAAGTGAGAGCACATAGAAAGATAGTGGGAGAGAGAAGGAGAAAGCAAGCAATAAGTTAATGAATTGGTGAATGACAAGGTTTTTAAAGCAAGCCTGCCAAGTAGCAAGACTATGGAAGGTTGAAGTTCTATATTTAACTATGTACCCAAAAAAAAAAGTTCTATATGTAACTTACCTTTCAGAAGCTCTATATGTAACTGACACAACCAATGTAGATGGAATACAAAGGTCCAAAACTTAAGAAGGCATCTCTTAAAGGCATTATTGAACTTAAATAATTTATTGCAATTATTGGACCAAGGATTAAATCGAGACAAAATAGGAAAATAAAAGTTTTTCACCATAAGAGACTTTTATAGGTAGTATAGATAGGGTTCACATCATTGTTTATATATTAATTGATCCATTCTCAGGGAACAGGTTCATGTGTGCTCTGTGGCTGCAAGCTGTAATGCCTAAATTAATGCTTTTTGTTTACTCATTTGATGTAACGTCATAGAAGAATCAACTTTAATCAGGGAAAGGGGATGTAGTAACTTTAAGATTTCAAATTTAAGTTGAGCTTTCACTTAACCAAATTCTACCAACTTGCCCCTCAAATTGAGCTTGTATGCGTATATTGATTAAGTTATTCATAAATATCCCAAATGTTTTGAATTGCATTCAAGAATACACTTATCTTTAGTGCTCTTACATTATTAACTTTGAAAACAGGAATACAAATTTTTCTTTTTGGCTCTTCCTGAAGATTATTAAGTTTTAAATGCACATTTAATCCATGCAGAACACATGGTGCACAAGATGGTGCTACATTTGAATTTAGTGGAACTTCATTTAGGTGATTGTGTAAATTTTGGACATAATTCAAATGAGCAACAACATAATTCACTAAGCAACCTAGTGGGCAACAACAGAATGGTCTCCAGTTCTAGTAGAGTGCCCTGTGTTACAGATTGCATTGACCTTCTACTGACCCTGTGCCAAAACGCACTATACTCAAGTAGGGTAGCTATGAATCTGTATTCTGCATCAAATGTTCGGTTTGTCATGACAATGTAGGTCCACCCGTTGAGATGTGGATGATTTACATCAAATGCACCTACACCTCAACCACCTTCATTCTACTCAAGTTGCGTAGATTTAACTCTATAGTTTTTCTTACTAGCAACTAACAATTACTTGAGATTATTACATGCTTTTGTAGAGTAATAGACAATTTAAACTGGATTCAATAAATGTCTAAAAGACTAATGGGAAAGGATCAAGGTTAACTTCTCACAAATTATTTAAACTAAGCGTTCTCCATTTTCGTGGATTTTATGTGGAGTACCTTGACTGTTTTGTAATTATATATTTTTTCTGAAGGAGAAAAAGTGATTTTCGGGGGATTGGATGTTTTAATGTCTCATGGAGCTGGGCTTCTCGGATCATTTCCATATACTTGTTCTGCCTCAATTTTGTTGCAGATGCTCACCCTGATCCATCTTTTTCACTTGCTTATGCATGTGAAGATGTTCAAAATTATTTTGCTGGTGTGCAGCATTTGAGAGGTGAAGCACTGAAGGAAAAATTATATTCCATAATTGCCAAGCATCAATCCATCTCCTACAGAGAGGTAATTCCATTCAGGAGATTTTTCTTTCTTCTGTTGCTACTTCTACTTCTACTGCCACTGCAACCATGTTTGGATCTAGGATTTGGGTTTAGGGGTGCAAATTCTTCTGATAGGTCTAAGAGGTGGCACTAAGGAAATAGAAATAAGTTGGCGAGGGTAAACTTCTTCAAATTGTGAGGATCATTTCATAAATTCAATATCAATCTAAGGGATTTTTCAAATCTTGGGGGACGGTTGCCTCCCCCAGATCCATAACTGTTGCACAACCATGCTGACTGTTGAAAATTATTTGGTATTCTCTATCTTGAAACTGAGATTTATTTTTGAGATTAGGTGTGGGATGCAATCAAGATTCTTGACGCTGCTGATGTAGATGAACCGGAAGCTTCACCAGCAGTGTAATTGCTTGCAAACTTTAATTTTGTCCTTTAATATGAATTTTTGATTTTATATGTATGATGAATTCATTGCCACTTTCTGGCTTACAGTGTTGAAATTTACTCTTTGAGAGTTGTCCCAAAGCTCTTAGCAGGAAAACCAGAAGGATGGAACAGTGAGTTATCGATCCAGATTGTTGTAGTTGCACAGTTTGGTTATTGTATTTTTGACTAAATTGCAGTGTATTTAACAAAGGTTTCAATGGGTACTATCTTCTGGTTTGTATCTGATGTCCGGCTCAGGGTAAGTTTCTTTGCTTTCTCTTCTTATCATTTTTTTGGTCTTATGAGGCTTGGATCCCAAGATGAGGAGGAGAGAGGGAGCCTCTTGGAGGCCACTCGAAGCCAACAGAGCTAGGCCCGTGGTGGTAAAATATGGTGAATTTTATTGCAATGATGCAGTCCACCAAGGGGTGCAGAAGAAAGTAAATTGAAAGAAAGATGGCTGTGGGCAAGTCTTTTTGATTCTAAGGCAGGGGCCCACTTCGGATCTTATATAACTAGGTCTCCAGTCTAATTTTATTCAGAAATTTTAAAGTCAAAAGGACTTTAATATTTCAAATTTTGCGTTGAAGGAGTGGTTGCCATGTTGGGCTTTTTGATTGCGGGTTCACTTAGCAATTCAGGTAAGGTCTGAAGGGTTTAGAAGGTTACCTTCCAAGAAGGGTTTGAAAGGTCCACTAAAAGTTCCAGGTTTTTGTTTTTATTTGGCTCCCAAGAGTAACTTGGACACCAAATTCTCTTAAGTCTCATTCATCTGTGCTGTTGTATTGGCTTGTTTTGGAGTTTAAGGTGAAGAATATGTCAAACCTACTATGCTGATGTGTGGCCATTTTTTTCTTGGGGGTGACTGAAGAACCTGTCTGTGCCCAGTTTTCTGTTGTCTTATTCTTGCCCTTTGTTCTTATTTTCAAATATATATATATATATTTGAAAACTATAATTGATGCAATCCATAAGATGCTCAAGAAAACACAAATTCGAAAATGTGAAAGATAATGGAATTGACTTTCCATCAAGACAAAGATCCATATGGAACCTTGCATTCTTATTTTAAGTCAATTTGCTAGTATTAATATTTTATATGTCCTTTTAATATTTTTAGTGTCAGGGGTATTTTTGTAATTTCTAGAATTTCTGGAATAGACATATTTTTGGGTCAAATTCTAGTATTGAATATTTTATAATTTAAAGTCCTAATTCTAGTTAATTTTACTTTTCTAATTTGTAGGGACCTAGTGTCTTTGAAGTTTTAGAGACTTTGGAATCCTAATCTTTTGGGATTAGGATTACTTAGAACTCTATATATAGTTAGTGTTACTTTTAATATTGGAGAAAATGAGAGATATTCAGAATTTTGAGTAATTACATGTTTCTTGAGTTATGTGATGCAATTCTAATCCCGGGTGTGTTGCCTACGGAACCCTAGGAGTGATTACTAACCAAAATTACTGTTCACGCTACTGTTCACAGTCCCTATTTTTTGTTTTACATAGTTGTCCTACATCAATAATTCTGCTTACTGTCTTTGCTTGAAAAGTGAAAACACACATAAAAACCTTTCGGCCCATCTAAACTTCAAATTGAATCTCTAGGCCCTTGCTTACATACTCCTAGTCACTCATAAGCCGTTAAAGCCAACACCCTTAACTCTGAAAATAATGCTGAGTTCTGAAAAGATCCTGCATCAGAAGATTTGGTATCATTTAAATTCAGGTGCATCTTTTTTGTTATGTAGAATAACTAGTTTTGTGATTATGTTGTCAGTTTACAGGTTTTTAGTTCACCCCATGTTGCCTAATCATGATTGGATCTTGATTTATGAGACTTTGCAGCTCACTAATATGGTTATTGCCTTGTAGCCAAGCCTGCTTATCGGTGTTAAGTTTGTAGAAGTAATATATTGCTGCCTTTCCAGGGGAACATTTATGGCCTCGCTCTTATGGGTTGAATAATGGCTCGTCTGTAACTGATCTACATAATATTCGTCCAGCAGATGTGAATGGTAAGTTGGGCTGCATTCCCCTCTTGATATAAGTAAGAGGGCAGCTCAGTAAACTTGAAAGGTTGTTGCAGTGAATTCATCAAGGGGTAACAAGTACTATGGAGAGTGTGATGTTAAATCAACTACATGTCTGAAGCCAGCAAACAAAGAAGCTTCTTCTGGCACAGAAACTGACAAGAAGAGATGGGCACCACCTGTGGAGGTTTTTTCTTTTCTATCTTTGTCATTTTTCATTGCTTATGTCCTTTGATAAGCATAAATTGACCTTTGTTAGTTTATGGCCGTCACCGATGAGGTTTGCTTGCATCACTTTTAAGTGTGTGTTCTTTGTGGTTGTGTCGATATTAAACTGATGACATCTAAGTCAAACCTAAACAAAGCTCATTTATATTAATGTACCCTAACTGCCCTGACAGGATTTTCAGCCCTGTGCCATGACACATTTAGGCATGTTTTTTCCTCAGCTCTGCCCTTGAGGTCTGTTAAGAATAGTAGGGTAGTATGTGTAAATTGTTAATAGTAAGAGGGTGTATGTATAATTCTTATTATTGTAGGTCAACTATAAATACAAAGATGTATGAGAGTTAGGTTAAGTTTTTAACCTCTCTCTTTGTCTCTAATATTATGTTAATCCTCCAAACTTAACATGGTATCAGAGCGTAAACGACCTTAAATATATGAACACTGTAGTACTGTAGTGGTGTGATTGTGGTGGCTGTGGTGTGTGGTCTCTATTCATCGCCCACTTGCGTCGTTCGTGGTGGTGGTGGTGTGGTGGCGTGATCACTTGTGGTGGTCTTGCTATTGACGTCAGCTTGTGGTGTTGTACTGTTGTTGTGGCTTCTGTTCTTCTGTTCATCGATCGTGGTAGTGGCTGTGGTGTTCGTTCGTGGTAGTGGCTGTGGTGTGTGGTGGTCTTGCGATTGAAGGCGGCTTGTGGTGTGTACTGTTGTCGCAGACCAGAGGGTTGCTAACCCTAACCAGCAAGGAAGAAGAAAGGATCCAACGAGGTCTGGATCAGATCGGGTCAAGTCAAGCCCAGGACTTAAATTTTAAGTCCAAATCCGGTCCAGCTTAGACCGGACCACGATTCAGGCCGATTCAGCAGTCTAGAAAGCCTAGTCGGTCCGGTTCAAAGGTCCAGAGAGCTCTGGTAGCCCGATTCAGTGGTTCAGCCTGGTTTCCATCCTGGTTCAGTGGTCCAGTCCGGTTTTCCTGGCCGGTTCAGTGATCCAGTCCTTTTTTCCAGGCCGGTTCAGTGGTCCAGGCCACTATTTCAGCCCAATTCAGTGGTCTAGTCCACTTTTCCAGCCCGGTTCAGTGGTCCAGTCCACTTTTCAAGTCCGGTTCAGTGGTCCAGTCCACTTTTCTAGCCCAGTTCAGTATTCTAGCTCTTCTTTTCTTCAGGTTTATCACTCCAGCAGCCTTGAGCAGTTTTGTTTGCTTCTATTATTTGCGATATTACTATGGAACCCAAGAATAAAAATGATGATAATCAGGTTGATCTTATTTCATCCACATCACCAAATATTTCTCCTATGGTTCTACTTAATGGTCCTATGACATCTGTTAAACTCAATGAGACCAATTAGGTTTTGTGGTCACGATCTGTTCAAGTGTTTCTTAGAGGTAAAGGTTTTAAGAAATATTTAGTGGATACTAAACCCAAGGAAGGTATTCCTGGGTATGATAATTGGGAACAAGAAGATGCTCAGATTATTTCATTGCTATTGAATAGTATTAAGCCTAGTATCAGTTCTACTTTGTTTTATCTTGACACTACCAAAAAGATCTGGGATCACTTAGCCACCATGTATTCTGGCACTGGGAATTTCACTCGTGCATATGAAGTATGCAAATAGTATTTTCGTCTGGAGCAGGGTACTCTGAGTCTTGAGGACTATTACTCTCATATTCAGGGAGTGTGTGAGGAGTTGAAGCTCTATCACTCCTTTACTACTGATGCAACGGTTTGACAGAAGCAACATGAGGATTTGAATGTTGTTCGATTTTTAGTTGGTTTGAAACCTGAGTACGAGTCTATTCACTCTCAGATTTTGAGTGGTTCTAGTCTTCCATCCCTACTGGAGGTTTTCTCCCGCTTGCAGCGTGCTACCTTCTCTACCGGTTCATCTAATATGGAATCTAATGTGCTTATTGATCGTTCAGCTCTTGTTGTCCCGAGTAGCCATGGTGACAGTTCCCAAGGTGGTCGTGGTAACCGTGGTGGTCGCGGAGGTCGGGGAGGCCGTATTGGAGATCGTGGAGGGCGTTCAAAGTCTCGTTCATGCTCTCACTATGGTCGTGAGGCCACACTATTGATTACTGCTGGGATTTACATAGCAAGTCTTTGGGTGTTGCTAATCAGGTGTCTTATCAGGATGACACCCTGACTCCTACTGCTATACCTCGGTCCGCTCCACCTGATTTTGTATCAGTTACTCTTACACGGGAGGAGTATGCTCAGTTTTTGTCCCATCAGCAGGCTGTTCCATCTTCCTCCACTGTTACTTTTGCCCAGTCAGGTACTGCCTCCACTTGTTTATTGTCCTCCACTCGCAGTCTCTAGATCATAGGCTCTGGAGCTTCTGATCACATGACTGGTGCGTCTGATATTTTTTCTACTTATCAGTCTGCTACTTCTACACGTAGTGTTACTCTTGTTAATGGTACTTGTTCTAAGGTTTCAGGTCTGGGGACTACTCACTTGAGTCCTGATTTGTCCCTATTTTTTGTGTTATTTGTTCCTCAGTTTCCTTTTAGTTTACTTTCCATTAGCAAGATTACTCGTTCTCTCAATTGTTCTGTAACTTTTTATCCCTCTTATTGTGTCTTTCAGGATTTCAAGACAAAGAAGAAGATTGGTACGGGCATGAAGCTGGTGGTCTATATTACCTTGACTTTGATTCACCTACCCGAGCTTTACAGACCTCGTTGTCTCCTTTTCAATGGCATTGTCGTCTTAGACATCCCTCTCTCCAGAATCTGAAGTGCCAAGTTCCTAGTCTTAGTTATGTGTTGTCTTTGTCTTGTGAAGCTTGTCAACTTAGTAAGCATCACCGTGTGTCATTTCAGTCTAAAGTCAATAATTGTGTGTCTAATCCATTTGAATTAGTCCATTCTGATGTATGGGGTCCCAGTGTTATTTAAGGCGTAAAGCGAATCGAAGCGATCAAGGCTCCTAATGCCTTGGCGAGAAGCGAGAAGCGAAGTGATACGCTTTACCGAAGCGAAGCGAACAGTTAAAAGAAAAAAAAAATTTTGTTTAATTACTTCTAAACAATCTATAACAATAAAAATTTCATATTTCACATGTATCAACTAGCAAAAAAAAAATTTCACATGTATCGAATGCATTAAGTTTTGAGTTTTTATCTGTTTGTATAATTTTTTTAAACGTTTAATTCCATCAATATCAATAAAAAGAAATAAATGTATTTTGTTCGGAGCATTACTTATTAAAAAAAAAAAACAGACAGCGATCAACAACAAAAAAGTCATCATTGCTTAAAAAATAAAAGAGACTACTAATCAGAGACGAATCAGAAAAAAAAAAAATCGGTGAGGAAGGAGTAGCAGAGAGAAGAAGAAAGAAGAAAAAAACAATAGAAGAGAGGAGAAGAAGAAGAGACTAACCTATTCTTTGTGTCGGTGAGGAAGCAACAGCAGTGGTCAATAGTGCAGCAATCGTGTTCCTTGTGTCCAGCGATGGTCTAGCAGCTCCGGCGATGGTCCAGCACTCCAGCTCCAGCGAAGACAATCTGAAAAAAAAATTAAGTTTGGGTTGTATTTATAGGGTAAGGGAATAATTCAGTATATCCATGTCGTAAAAATTTTTTTCCATTTGCCTAATCAACGACCCATAATCAAAATAACAAAAAATGCCTGGGACTATTAAGGCGCTTGCCTTGTCGCCTGTCGCTTTTTTGCTCGCTTCGCCACGTTCGAGGACCTCTAGGCGAGATACCCTCGTCTCGCCTCGCTTCTCGCCTAGGCGCACTTTTCAAAACACTGCGGGGTCTAATAAAGAATATTTTCTCTAATAAATATTCTTATTTTGTGACATTTGTAGATGACTATTCTCGTGTGACTTGGTTATTTTTTATGAAAGCTCGGTTTGAGTTATTCTCTATCTTTGAGACTTTTTGTAAGAAAATAAAAATTCAGTTTGGTTGTCGTATACATACTTTACGTTCCGATAATGCTCGGAATATGAATCTGATCCCTTTTCAACGTATTTTAGTAAAACTGGTATTATTCATCAGACTTTTTGTGCTTACACATCTCCACAAAATGGTGTTGCTGAACGCAAGAAACCGTCATTTGTTGGAAATCACTCGTGCCCTGTTATTCCAGATAAATATTCTCCAATATTATTGGAGTGATGTTGTTCTTACTGCTTATCATCTTATTAATCATATGTCATCCTCTTTGTTAAATGGGCAAAGTCCATATTCTGTTCTTTTTCCCGGTAAGCCTTTATTTTTCCTGGCTCCTAAGGTTTTTGGTTGTATCTGTTATGTTCACAATTTGGGTTCTAGGTTTGACAAACTTGACCCTCGAGCAACCAAATGTGTATTTTTTGGTTACTCCCGCACGCAGAAGGGGTATCGTTGCTATAGTCCTTTTCTGCACCGATACTTTACTAGTGCCGATGTCACGTTTGAAGAGTCTGTTCCATACTTTCAGCACCTTCTCAGCCTTTGGATCTAGACTTTAGATCCTCTCCGGTACCACCATTTCTTTCTTCATCTTCAGATATTCCGCTGTCCACTGTGTTACCATCTACTTTACATCTCCGTGGCTACTCTCGCCGTCCTCGCCCATCGACTGAGGTGCCCGTACCGTCTTCTTTGCCGCCTTCTAATCTTGGTACATCAAGTAATTTAGACTCTTTAGCTATTGCTCTTCGCAAAGGTACTCGTTCGTGTGTTGCTAATCATCCCATTTCTCATTTTATTTCATATGATGCCTTATCTTCTGTCTTCTCCTGTTTTACTTCCCAATTATCTACTATATCTATTCCTAAACATTTACAGGATGCATTATCTGATCTGGGTTAGAGGAAAGTTATAGAGGAGGAGATGGATGCTTTACATCATAATGGGACTTGAGATCTCGTTCCTTTACCCTCTAGTAAACGAACTATTGGCTGTCGTTGGGTGTATACTATTAAATATCATCCAGATGGTTCTGTAGAGCGTCTCAAAGTCCGGCTTGTTGCAAAGGATTTTACTCAAACTTATAGCG